CACCACGCGCACGACCACCGCCAGCTCCAGGCCACCCGGGCGGGAGGACACCCGCCTGCCTTGTCTGCGGCGGCTGCGACGGTCGCGGCTGCGGCTGCGACTGTGGAGGCGGCTGCTCAGCTGGACCGGGCAGGGTCCCCTCGTCCGCTCCTGCACCAGACGACCCGACGCCACCACCACCCCCACCTGCACCCCCTCCTCTGCCGCCGCGCCCAGCCTTGGGGCGGCGGCCCTTCCCCGGACGGAACTGCACGGCAGCAGCAGTCTCAGCCACAGTGGCAGAACCGTCGGAGAAGGTACACTGAGCGGGGGCACAACCCTGAAAGATAGGGACCGATACGGTACCGCTCGCCTGGGCAATGGAGCGATGGCGGGTCTCTATAACAGTCAGGGTGTCTACAAAGTCGCTGAGGGTGAGCTCACCGGGGTGGATACTAAGGAAGCGGTCGCGGGCGGCGTCAAGGCGGTCAGGGAGGCGGGTGGCAAGCAGGTAGAGGGTAGAGGTAATGGGCGGCTGGTGGGCTCTAAGCTGAGTGTCAATGCAGGCTGCGCGCCAGGTCTCATCTATCGTGCGCAGGTGGGCAGCCAGGTCAGCGACAGTGGGGAAGGACGCAAGATCAGGAAAGAGCAGCGGGAGGATCAGGCGACCCACCGAGGCAGCAGGAGGGGTGGAATAGCGCTTGAGGACAGCATCTAAGTAAGCCTGGGTGGTAGTGATGGACCTAAAGCGGGGGCGCTCAGACAAGGGAAGGGCAATGCTAATGGCAAGCTGGGCGACAGCATCTCGGGAAAGCCAGACAGAGCGCGCAAGGGCAGCGGCTGCAGCAGACTCGCGCTCAGCGGGTGTGGGGTCAGCGGGCAGTACAGCAGGGGGATCTCGTCAGGGGAGCATACCGTCAAGGTGTGCAGAAAGCGGGTGGCCATCCTGCCGCTGGCCAGTGAGGTGGCGACGGAGGTCGGCGAGCCACGCCTCGAACTCCAGAGGCTGGCCTTCAACGTCGAAGCGAAGCTCCGCCGCCATCAGGAGCAGGGCAAGGCGGGGCAGTGCGGTGCGGGGCGAGGCAGTACGGTGCAATGCGGTACCGTGCAGTGCAGTGCGGTGCATGGCGGTGCAGTGCGGTGTAGTGCGGTACCGTGCAGTGCAGGTGAAGGGGGGGAACCGTACCAGGGAGAGTGCAGGGCCGGAGGCGGCACGACGAGCGGGCAGCACTCAGCTCGGGGCAGGACGACCGCGGGGTCGACGGGGTGGGCGCAGGGCCGGCTGGGACGGGCGCGGGGCCAGCTGGGACGGTCGCGGGCGGCTGGGACGGGCGCGAGGCCGGCTGGGACGCGCGCGGGCCGGCTGGGACGGGCGCGGGCCGGCTGGGACGGGCGCAGGGACCGAGCGGGACGGGCGCAGGCTGGCTGGGACGGGCGCGGGCCGGCTGGGACAGGCGCAGGGACCGAGCGGGCAGGGCGCGGGGGTCGGCTGGGACGGGCGCGGGGCCGGCGGAGACGGGCGCAGGGGCCGAGCGCGCAGGGCGCGGAGGGCGCGAGGGCGGCCGTGAGGCCGGCTGGGACGGGCGCAGGGGCCGCGGAGGACGAGGGCAGGGGCCCCTAGGATAGCACGGGGGCCGCTAGGGCAGGCGCCAGGGCCGTCACGAGGGGCCGCTAGGGCGGGTGCTAGGACGGGCTCGAGGGGCCGCTAGGGCGGGGCGCGAGGGGCCGCTAGGGCGGGTGCTAGGGCGGGTTCTAGGACAGGCACGAGGGGCCGCTAGGGCGGGCACGAGGGGCCGCTGGGGCGGGTGCTAGGACGGGCACGAGGGGCCGCTAGGGCGGGGCGCGAGGGGCCGCTAGGGCGGGTGCTAGGACAGGCACGAGGGGCCGCTAGGGCGGGTGCTAGGACAGGCACGAGGGGCCGCTAGGGCGGGTGCTAGGACAGGCACGAGGGGCCGCTAGGGCGGGCACGAGGGGCCGCTAGGGCGGGTGTTAGGACGGGCACGAGGAGCCGCTAGGGCGGGGCGCTAGGCCGGCTAGGACGGGCGCTAGGGCGGGCGCGGCTAGGGCGGGCGTGACGAGGGCGGGCGCGGCTAGGGCGGGCGCGGCTAGGGCGGGTAGGCAGGGCTCAAATTTGAAGGGTATTTCACCCTGATTGCCCTTGCCAGCGGCCGCTTTTTCAGGATCACCCTGATTTTCAAAGGGTATTTTTTTTGTGACACTTTCTTTAAACGTGTAAGTTTATTTTTACCCTGCTGTAGCCAGAGTAAACCATGATATACCCTGACCAGGCAGGGTGTTGCCGAAAACACCCTGAAACAGAAGCCTACAAGGTCTGCAGATTCGATTGTTGTCGAATCTGCCACGCGTGAAACCCCGCCAGCCATGCCCGCCCACTGGCAGTCAAGCCCCCCAGAATCGGCGCGCGTGGCAGTGAATTCGTCGCGCTGTGGCAGCACTACTGCCAGCGGCGTGCCAGATGCAGTATGCGCTATGCATCGAGGCCACTTTCCCGCGTGGTCTCAAGGACAGCTAGGCATCGCATGCACTAGCGCAGCAACACCCGCGGCGCAAGGACAGTCTGCCATAGCAGGTTGACTTTGCCGCGTTGTGTGGTTTTCGTTCCCTATCACGAGACCATTCTTGGCCCATCGTCCTCATCCTCTTCTTCCCCCACCTTCTCTTCATACTTCCACCCGACCCAGCCGAGCTGGGTCAACCATTCCCCTCGTTAGTTGTTACTCTATCGCTTCTACTACTCAGACATGGCCGTTCCCGAGAACGACGAGCCTGACGATGGCCATGTTGGTCATCGTGATGGCCTTAGCGTCCTCGGCGTTTTCCCCCTCACTCAACCAGCAGTCGCGCCCTCGTTCAGCCAGCGTAAATCTCCCCCGCGCTCTCTGCAAATTCCTCAGCCCGCCCCACCACAGATTCCTAGATCCCTTTCTCCATCTCAACGGGGCATCGAGCCCATCGACGTTTCAGAGTCTGCCGATGCAGATGAGTCCGACCATCCCTCCGTGACAACCCCTCCCTCCCCTACCTCCGAGACCGCCAAAAGGCCGCGACGGTCCGCATGGACGCAGTCGACCCTCTGGGGTGCGCCTCCGCCTCGCCGCCCAGCAAGCCCGCCTCCCGCGCGCGCTTCTCGCCCTGCCGGGCTTGCTGCCGACGCTCTGCCGACGACCGCTGCTGAGGCCGAGTATGCAGTAATAAAGAACCGTTTCGACAATGACTGGTCGAAGCGGTTCCCCTGGCTGCGGCTACATCGAATGAAGAACGGACGACCTGCTCTCAAGTGCGCCACGTGCCTCAAACACGCCGACCCATGTGCGAACACGTCGTATGGCATCAAGGGTGAGGGTGGGCGTGATTTGCAGCTCGGCAGCATCCGCTCTCACATCGGCACCCGTGCGCACAAATCGGCGATCAAGGCGGAGGAGGATGCTGAGAAAGAGCGCGCGCGACAAGTGACGCTGACCCGCTGGCAGCGGACGGATCACCAGACGCGGCATCTTATTCGCATGCTGCACATCGCGTTGTTCATTTGCAGGCATGATGCGCCCATCGCGATGTTCATCCCCCTGTGCTGGTTCCTTGCGAAGGAAGGCCACCCCGATCTGCCGCCAGGTGGTGGGTACGGCGCCTACTACACAGAGTATGTTAAAACCTCGACAGTAGTTCTTGTGCTGTGCGATTTGCCGTTTGATGCTCACTGCTCGTCCTCCCTCCCCACGTGCACAAATTGTGGCCTTCTTGTATGGTACAAATGCCCTGCCGTCCGTCTCCCCTTGTTTTCGTGTCATGCAGTTACGGTTTCAAGGAGAGCATACGGTCCATGTCGGAGTATCTGCAGGAGGAACAGCTGAAACACCTTCACGCCTCTCCCTACGTTGGCATCAGCATCGACGAGAGCACGGATCGCATCCACGGGAAACATCTCGTGCTCTACGCGACGTTTTTCAAGGGCAACACCGTGGCGACCGAGTTTGTCACACTTCTGAGTGTCGAGCGGACTGACGCGGCATCTCTGACTTCCTCCCTCTTGCACTACATCCAGGGAATTGGACTGGACCTGCAAAAGATCGTGGGCATCGCGACTGATGGAGCTTCCGTAATGACCGGCGAGCGGAGCGGAGTAGTGACCCGTCTGCGCGCACAAATCGAGCACCTCGTCTCGATTCACTGCATTGCCCATCGGTTTGTTGCGGTTCGACGGACGTATAAACTTTCGGATGAAATGCATGGTCGTGCCTTATATTCCTGGAAGTAACATCAGCCTTTCTACTACTCTTCCCCTATCCTCCCACCCCGCCTTCAGGGAGGCGCTGGCGGCTAAGGACGCGGCTGCAGCCGTGCCCGAGCTAAGCATCATTGACCTTATCATACGGACACTGGCCGACATCCTTGGACGCAGTCACGTGCGCTACACCCGCTTCATGGCGCTGCAGCTGATCTTCTGTCAGACGACCCTGGAACATCAGGGAATCCATGTCATCCGCTGGCTCTCCAGGGGCGAGGCGGTGAACCGCCTCGTGGACGTGCTCCCAGCCGCCATCTTGCTGCTACGCGAGCATGGGAGTGACTTGTATGAAGTCGTTACTTCGTTTAAGTTTCATTTTCTCCTGCGCTTCCTCGCCGACATTCTGACGGAGCTGAACATCCTCGACCAACGGTTTCAGCAGCGCCAGGTATGCATCACCGTGTCTGATCTGTTTAATATATCGCTACGCGTGTCTGACTCTCACCCCCCATGTTTGCCGACCGGTCCATGTGGTTTCCGGGGCAAAGCATAGCACTGATGCGTGGTGCGTGTGTTGTGCCCGCCCGTACAGGTTGACGTGACACTCGTGGCACATGTGGTTGAGCAAACCAAGATGCGGATCTCGGCGCGCTATCTTAGCTCTGGGCCTGGGCACGGCTTCGGCCATGGGGAGAAGCTCCATCTGCCGGAGTTCATCGCGGCGCATGCAGCTAAGGACAAGCGGATGATGATGGCAGAGGGCGTCGACGGTGACGGAAACCCGCAGTCGTTCTCCTTCGAACTCCACGAGCGACCGCTGCCGGGCCAAGATTCTGACGGCGACGTGACAGCCTGCTTCGAGCTCTGCGTCAAGTATGCTCGCTCCGTCAACATGTTCCTCGACCGCCGCCTGAACGATCTGCGTAACCTGGAGGGGACTAAGTTGTTCCTGGACAAGACCTACCTGGATGACGACATCCTACGCGTGGCGGCCTTCAAGAAGTGGCTGAAGCAGCTGGACAGCCTGTTTCGGCACAAGCTACCAGGTAATCTAGAGCGCCTACTTCTCAACCATGGAGTCATGGTATGCTATGCAATGCGAACAGAATCGCTGCCTCTCAAGTCTCAACACTGAACCATTCCTCCCTCACCGCCCCGAACCCCCCTTGCAGGATTCAAGTACAACAATGCAGTCACGGAGCTATGGATGTTCACATCCACCATGCACTCCCAGCATCATCATGAGGACTTCTTCCAGGCGCTGAGCAACACGCTGCGTGACAGAAACTGGCAGCTCAGCTACCCCAACATCATGCTCATGTGGCAAGCTGTCGCCGTTCTCCCGCTGAGCACTGTCGACTGCGAGCGCGGTTTCTCCAAGCAGAACCTGATAAAGACATGGGCGCGGGGTAGCATGGGCGACATCACCCTCGGCCATCTCATGCGGTGCTCCCTGCTGGACTATGACGTGGACTGGTTCGACGTGGTGGCCATCTTTCGTGGAGAAAAGCCCCGCCGCACTATCCGAGACTTCACCGGCGCCATCCCCAGTTCGGCGCTGTTTGCTGAGCCAGAGAACGCAACACCCTCTGCTGCTCCCAGCTCAGTCGGCGGGGGGAATAGTGGGTCTGCAGAGTGAGCTATAAGTAGCGGGAGTATTAGTGACTGCCGTGAGACTCAGAGCGCATTCCTATGAATTAGGATCAGAATCAATAACATGCAGTAGTAGTAGTAGTAGTAGTAGTAATAGTAGTAGTAGTACTAGTAGTAGTAATAGTAGTAGTAGTAGTAGTAGTAGTAGTAGTAGTAGTAGTAGTAGTAGTAGTAGTAGTAGTAGTAGTAGTAGTAGTAGTAGTAGTAGTAGTAGTAGTAGTAGTAGTAGTAAGTAGTAGTAGTAGTAGTAGTAGTAGTAGTAGTAGTAGTAGTAGTAGTAGTAGTAGTAGTAGTAGTAGTAGTATAGTAGTAGTAGTAGTAGTAGTAGTAGTAGTAGTAGTAGTAGTATAGTAGTAGTAGTAGTAGTAAGTAGTAGTAGTAGTAGTAGTAGTAGTATAGTAGTAGTAAGTAGTAGTAGTAGTAGTAGTAGTAGTAGTAGTAGTAGTAGTAGTAGTAGTAGTAGTAGTATAGTAGTAGTAGTAGTAGTAGTAGTAGTAGTAGTATAGTAGTAGTTGTAGTAGTAGTAGTAGTAGTAGTAGAGAGTAGTAGTAGTAGTAGTAGTAGTAGTAGTAGTAGTAGTAGTAGTAGTAGTAGTAGTAGTAGTAGTAGTAGTAGTAGTAGTAGTAGTAGTAGTAGTAGTAGTAGTAGTAGTAGTAGTAGTAGTAGTAGTAGTAGTAGTAGTAGTAGTAGTAGTAGTAGTAGTAGTAGTAGTAGTAGTAGTAAGTAGTAGTAGTAGTAGTAGTAGTAGTAGTAGTAGTAGTAGTAGTAGTAGTAGTAGTAGTAGTAGTAGTAGTAGTAGTAGTAGTAGTAGTAGTAGTAGTAGTAGTAGTAGTAGTAGTAGTAGTATAGTAGTAGTAGTAGTAGTAGTAGTAGTATAGTAGTAGTAGTAGTAGTAGTAGTAGTAGTAGTAGTAGTAAGTAGTAGTAGTAGTAGTAGTAGTAGTAGTAGTAGTAGTAGTAGTAGTAGTAGTAGTAGTAGTAGTAGTAGTAGTAGTAGTAGTAGTAGTAGTAGTAGTAGTAGTAGTAGTAGTAGTAGTAGTAGTAGTAGTAGTAGTAGTAATAGTAGTAGTAGTAGTAGTAGTAGTAGTAGTAGTAGTAGTAGTAGTAGTAGTAGTAGTAGTAGTAGTAGTAGTAGTAGTAGTAGTAGTAGTAGTAGTTAGTAGTAGTAGTAGTAGTAGTAGTAGTAGTAGTAGTAGTAGTAGTAGTAGTAGTAGTAGTAGTAGGTACCCTGATTACCAAGGGTCCCCCTAAACCAATTTTGAGCCCTGCGGGTAGGTCCTAGAGCGGAAGCGTGGGTGAGCGGGACCTACCTACTGCTGATACCATCTTAGAAACTTGAATGAATGATTAGAGAGAGAGAGAGAGAGAGAGAGAGAGAGAGAGAGAGAGAGAGAGAGAGAGAGAGAGAGAGAGAGAGAGAGAGAGAGAGAGAGAGTACAGGAATATATCCAAGTGTTGTACCTGTTAAAATTATATAAGTTATAATTTAATATAGGCTTGGTAGGTTGTTACTGAACCTTTCTGTAGGGGGTACAAACCCCTCCTTGTACTCCCCTCTCTTCCTAATCCAACTTCCTTTCTTCTCGACATCCTCTCACCTCCTAGATCCGTTTTTCCTCATGCCATTCCATGGCGGTCTTCTTCCTAGTATCCTAGCCAACCTAGCCTCCTAAGTTTAAGAACCTTTAGTCCTAAGTTTCTAAGATGGTATCAGAGCAGGAGATCCTCCCTGTTGGATCGCCTCCTCACGCTTCCGCAATTTACTCCTCACTCTCATTAGCTCGAGCGGCCATGGCAGCCGCGTTTTGCTGCAGTGGCGACGTCGCGCTGCCACTGGCCGCGTCGTGCCGCGACCGGCTCGACGCGCTGCCGTGGCGTCGGGCCGTCGTTCTGCAGTCGCAGCGTCGACGTCCCGCTGCGGCATCGACGCTGCCTCTGCCATCGCGACGTCGACGTCCTGCTGCAGCGTCGACGGCGCCGTCGGGCCGCAGCTGGTTGCGTCGACGCTTTGCCGTGGCAGCGTCACCTTGCTGCCGTTGCAGCGTCGGCGTGCCGCCACAGCGTCGACGCCGCGCCCTGGCGGCGTCGTCATGCTGCCGCGGCAGCGTGGATGGGCGGCAGCGGGCAGCACGCCGTCGTAACCGCCACCTGCCCGCCCTCCTGCCAGTAAGCGCCGCGCCACTTATGGCGCGTCGCTGAAGACTCGCCTCGCCCCGCCCCCTCCCCTCCCCCCCCCACCTGCACCTGCTTCCCCTGCATCCCCCCCTTTCTTGCTGCAGCCGATGACTGCCATGTGAGGGACCTCTCCACCGCCGAGGAGACAGGACATGCCGCCGAGAGGGCGGGGGCCGCCGCACCAGCCTCTGTCGTTCGAGCCGCCGGCGCCGCCGCTGTTGCCGCAGGCCTGGAGCCGCCGCACACCGCCGCCGCCGTCGCCGTCGTCACTGTCGCTGCTGCCGCCATTGCCGTCTCAAGGGGCCGTGAGACCTACCCTCTTCCGGAGTCGTTGCGGCTCCTGCTGGGAATGGGGGTGCTGGGCTAGGGGGTGTGGGTGTGGGTGTGGGTGTGGGGGTGTGCGTGGGCTTGACACTACCAAGCCTAGGGGGTGTGTTAAAATTATATAAGTTATAATTTAATATAGGCTTGGTAGGTTGTTACTGAACCTTTCTGTAGGGGGTACAAACCCCTCCTTGTACTCCCCTCTCTTCCTAATCCAACTTCCTTTCTTCTCGACATCCTCTCACCTCCTAGATCCGTTTTTCCTCATGCCATTCCATGGCGGTCTTCTTCCTAGTATCCTAGCCAACCTAGCCTCCTAAGTTTAAGAACCTTTAGTCCTAAGTTTCTAAGATGGTATCAGAGCAGGAGATCCTCCCTGTTGGATCGCCTCCTCACGCTTCCGCAATTTACTCCTCACTCTCATTAGCTCGAGCGGCCATGGCAGCCGCGTTTTGCTGCAGTGGCGACGTCGCGCTGCCACTGGCCGCGTCGTGCCGCGACCGGCTCGACGCGCTGCCGTGGCGTCGGGCCGTCGTTCTGCAGTCGCAGCGTCGACGTCCCGCTGCGGCATCGACGCTGCCTCTGCCATCGCGACGTCGACGTCCTGCTGCAGCGTCGACGGCGCCGTCGGGCCGCAGCTGGTTGCGTCGACGCTTTGCCGTGGCAGCGTCACCTTACTGCCGTTGCAGCGTCGGCGTGCCGCCACAGCGTCGACGCCGCGCCCTGGCGGCGTCGTCATGCTGCCGCGGCAGCGTGGATGGGCGGCAGCGGGCAGCACGCCGTCGTAACCGCCACCTGCCCGCCCTCCTGCCAGTAAGCGCCGCGCCACTTATGGCGCGTCGCTGAAGACTCGCCTCGCCCCGCCCCCTCCCCTCCCCCCCCCCACCTGCACCTGCTTCCCCTGCATCCCCCCCTTTCTTGCTGCAGCCGATGACTGCCATGTGAGGGACCTCTCCACCGCCGAGGAGACAGGACATGCCGCCGAGAGGGCGGGGGCCGCCGCACCAGCCTCTGTCGTTCGAGCCGCCGGCGCCGCCGCTGTTGCCGCAGGCCTGGAGCCGCCGCACACCGCCGCCGCCGTCGCCGTCGTCACTGTCGCTGCTGCCGCCATTGCCGTCTCAAGGGGCCGTGAGACCTACCCTCTTCCGGAGTCGTTGCGGCTCCTGCTGGGAATGGGGGTGCTGGGCTAGGGGGTGTGGGTGTGGGTGTGGGTGTGGGGGTGTGCGTGGGCTTGACACTACCAAGCCTAGGGGGTGTGTTAAAATTATATAAGTTATAATTTAATATAGGCTTGGTAGGTTGTTACTGAACCTTTCTGTAGGGGGTACAAACCCCTCCTTGTACTCCCCTCTCTTCCTAATCCAACTTCCTTTCTTCTCGACATCCTCTCACCTCCTAGATCCGTTTTTCCTCATGCCATTCCATGGCGGTCTTCTTCCTAGTATCCTAGCCAACCTAGCCTCCTAAGTTTAAGAACCTTTAGTCCTAAGTTTCTAAGAGTACCCTCTAAGAGATAACCCTATACAGTCTATGCAAAGTATAAGAGATACACATGTTTGACAATTATCATAATATCATAGCACTATATCCATCTAAATTATTGATGAGCACGATCAGCTAATAGCATAGCTCACATATGACACCCTGTAGGGTGAAATGTAAAATAGAGAAGTATATGTTTTATACCCTTTCCTGGTCAGGGTGTAAAATGTTGATTTGCTGCCTTGTATCCTTCTAGCTCCTGGCCAGTGAACGATGGAGCTGTTCGGGGAAGGTTGAAGTTCTCAAACGAAGCCGTCTTCAACGCGGACGGCCACCTCCAGCTCTGCCCTTTCCTCTCGCAACCCCTCCCCGCATTTTTCGCCGGAGAAGCCGCAATCATGCGGCTCAGGTGCCTATCATGCTCCGCGAATCGCTGCTGTGCTTCGACGAGCTCCAGCGCCGCGACTCGAATGCGGCACCGCGCGTCGTCTACCCACCCCGGGTCGCACGCGCGCGCCGCGTCCAAGCAACCGCACAAGGGCTCCAGCTCCTGAGACTCATGCATTGAATCTGGACCGATATTGGGGCTGCAGGGGCAGCTAGCAACGGGTCCGTTAGATCTGCCAGTAGCACGAGTACCACCAGCCGCACTCCTGCTACTGTAGCTGCGGGCGCTGCTGAAGCCGAAGTTGCTGCTGCTGCTGCTGCTCCCAGCATTGCTCATCTCATGATGGTGGTTGTTCTCGCGATAAACCACGGGCTCGCCTGATCCAGAGGAAGGCTTTCGCTCAGCTGGTGACGAAACGCCAGCGTCCGACGACGAAAATTTGTCGTCATTGACGAAGGTGGCAAGCCTTGCTGCAGCTGCAGCTGCTAGGTGCGGGTCTTCAGCGGCAGCAGCTGCTAGCTGCGAGCAGGACGCGGACTCGCGGAGGCGTCGACGCCTCGCAGTAGAAGCGATAGGGAATAGCAGCGGCCATCCCAACGGGACGCTGATGAGCCGCGACGGGGAGAACGCCGATGGCTCCGTGAAGGGGTGCGACAGGCTGGTACAACTGCTGGCATCCCAAAAATGTGAATCGGGGTTGGGTTGGACATTTGTGACAAAGGGTTTACGAAGTCCCCCTGGACGAGGTTGAGAGGAAATGGGAATGAAGCAGGGACGAAGGCTTCGTGGGAGCAAAGTCCACATTGGCAAAGGCTTTGTCCAGAGGCCCTATGTCCCCGCTTCATCGGGCCCTCCAAACCTAAACCTATCCGCTACCGTGGTGAATTATTAGCGTTCTGTAGGTTTCCGCTTCATTCCTGCCACATCCCAACGACCATACCAAAGAAGCACGGGTTGCCTAGGCCAAGAGCAGCATGCTGGGTCGGTTGTGATTGGCCAAGGACAAATATGGTACCAGCCAATCAGAAAACACGAGAGAGGCCAAATTTCTCGTCTGTAATTGGTCAATGGAAACTCGACGCGCTTCAAAAAAATATGGGCGAAAATATGGTCGGCGAAAACTCGACGCGCTTCGGCGAAAACTCGACACGCTTCGCGAAAGGGAAAATCAGTTCGACAAACTGGGTAGGGGAGCTGTACAATTTGCGATTGTTTATGGTGACCGTAAAAGAGACGCAACACATATTTCTTAGAAACGAGACACTTTGTATCGTACCAAAGAACGGTCGAGCCAGCAAAAATTGTGCAGCCAACTTCTGACCAATCCCCAACCACCACATCACCCCCTTATCAACCCACACCCAGAATATGTAGCCACGGAAACTCCTCACCTCACGTCTCAATTCCTTCTCATATGACCCATCATGTGCTCAGAACCCTCTTCCTCATTTCTAGACTTCGCTCTCCCACCCGCTAGTCTTCCTTCTCCATTTTCATACCACTCTGAACTCCTAGATCTAAGACTGCACTGAGTAGGAGCCGTGGCGTTTTCGTTCCTGCGTATCGGTAGTTATACCGTTCGTCGTTTTTATAGCGTTCCACAGTACAGCCCCTTTCTGCTGACTAATAACTTTGGTTTTTCTTACTTCGTTGCAGGTTCCTCATCAAGAAAATTCTTATGTCAAAAGGCAGCACCTCCGTATGGTGTACCAGCCGCGATCCTCGATCCGGGCACTATCACCATGGCGGCCTAAACGGTAAGTCTGAATGTATCCTGACTCCGTCGTTTCCCGTCCTATTTCTCTTATCAACTCACCCTCCGGTCCCGGTTTCCTGTTTGCTGGACAAGATTTTGATTGTACTACTACTGTATGCCAAAATCCGTAAGTTGAATTATGCTGTTAGAATTTCTACCTGTCTTGTCGCCTTGCATTCTCTGCCCTGTACTCAGCTGGCATGCAGGGCTCTGGAAAAGAGTGGACAGAACCCAGTCACGACCTTGATGAAGCAAATTTGAAGGCATGGTGGAAATAGCCGTTGAACGGGATCCGCTTCCATGTCACCGCTTTTATCCCGTTCTCATGATTTGTCACCTTCCCGAAATCGAGCTACGGAAGTGCTGAATTTGTAGTTCAATTTTGTTGTATTTTTTATTTGTGCAATCAAGATGTTATATGAATATGTAAATACAGAATTACTGCACCTAGTGTACTAGATATAAAACAACATGAATTGTGGCGGGAATGCTTCAGGCTTGAAATACTATGTGTCTGCATAGCATCAACATAGCAATGACGAAAGCACACAAAGCACATGCATAGCGCATGCTACGTCTAGCGCAACATCATAGCACGACGATCAGCATGGACAATATAAACGCAATGCACCTCGACATTCCTCGCACTAAGTAGGTGCTTTGTATGAGCTTTGCATTTCGGAACTATGTTTATGCTTCACTGATGAACACGTTTAGACATAGCCTTCACGAGCATAGTAGGTGCATAGCACTTCCGCGAACGTGCGAAGCAGGTGCATAGGTTTCCGGCCCCCAATTTTTGGGACGGGTGGCCGTAGTACTGGTGGTCGCAGCGAAGTTGAGTGGGCTGGCAGCGCGTCCCATGATTGTGAGACTCTCAGGGGAAACGAAATGCAGGTCGTTGGAACAGATGTGAATATAGAGTCGCGAGGGATGTTGCCGTGGTGAAGGAGAGGTGCACTAAATACGGATAGATGTTTGGGAGTCCCTAAGTGCTGCCGCAAGTTGGGGGAGCCCATCGACCCTGCTGGAATGCTCCAGTGAGAGCCCCCCCCCGACCCCCTCCCTCCCTCCCAACACCCCCTACACCATCACAGGGCGCAATCCCCCTAGGGAGCCCACACTCTGGGGAACGCACACCCTGTGCGTACCCCGCAGAGCGCACACCCGCCAAGCGCACGCCCCTCAGAATTCACACCCCCCAGGAAATCCCCCCGTTAAGCTCGCCGATATTTTTCCATCTTCACGGACGGACACAGGTTAGCTCGAGATATTTCGGAACTTCCGCGTGAATCACTGAGGGATTGTCCGCTGCCGCGACACGCACATGGGCGGCTGACGTGAAAGATCGGAAGAGCGGACAAACGAGGCTATTTCGGACGGGAATCGCAATCCGATACAAATGTTGACTCCCGATCGCGAGCTGCAAACGATGGAGCGGCGAATGCTCGTTCTTGGGCGGCACTGTACTGCTGCTTCACATGCAGCGCTGCTGTTGTGCACACGGCGTGACGTGGCGCGACCACTGCGACAGAGGCGTGGCAGGCAGCTAGTGAGAGAATGTCGTCATCGCGAACACGTGGGGGGAATGGTGGGAAAATCGAACGGTGGCAGTACAGTACAGTACATCGTCACCGCGACAGAGACGGTTAGTGACTGAGGGTGCTTCCATTGGGCCAAATAGACCGAAGCGTCGGACGACGGGACGGGAGACGAAGCGTGGGAATGGGAACTAGCGAAGGATAGGGTACTGTATCTCTATTGCAATACTGTACAGTACGTGCTGCCGCCCCTCCTCTGTTTCCATAGCAACATGTTGCGAAGCGTTCCCTAATGGCATGTCACCAGTGTTCCCTCGGAACCCTACTCAACCGTTTTATATGCTCGGCAAACCGCTTTGGAGACGTGAAGCGGTTTTTAAACACTGAAGGGGACTTTTGTTACACGCCCTGAATGCAAGTCAACCGCCGGCTTGTGCGGAGAACATATTCTCGTCGACTCCTCAGGTCAGGTGGACATCTCAGAGCGAGGGTCTCAAGAAGCGCGAAACCAAATCCAGAAGGTTTGGTTTTGGGTTGACGAAATTAGCGAAACAGTAACAGCGCCCAACCAGCACCCCTCACCACACCTCGCAATTTTCGATACCCCCAGAAACCAAAACCTTTGGATTTGGTTTTCTGCTTCTTGAGACCCTCGCTTTAAGCCCGCGAACTATGGTTTCTGCTGCCGCGCACAAGGATGCTGACGACGACTACCCTGCCTGCTGACTCCGCCATCCTCCTCCACAGGCTTCTGGAAGGAGTCTAGGTTCCGCCGCAAATCGTAAGGCATAGATGGACACAGGAGGTGAAAAGAGAGGAGGGGCCATGATGGTTGTGCTGTAACTTGTAAACAATCCGCCGCCACATGAGATTTGCGATCGTGTGATGCTGGGCTGGTTCAACCAGCCTCTGGTTGCCGGGGGGAGGAAGAAAGAAGTTCAGGCCTCCACTGTGCATACAAATGCACTTGTGTCAAGAGGTCGTTATACCATGTTTTTCACACACCCCAGGAATGGGGGGAAAAGATGCGGGAAGTCCACCCAGT